GGAAGTAGTAAAGGCGAGCACTGTGGAGTCTGGGAACTGGAAACCAATTGTAACAGTTCGATTTCTGTATCTGACAATGCAATGGAAAGAGATGAGAACATGTCCACGACGTAGGAAGTAGTAAAGTTTAGCATCGCAGAGTGTGGGAACCGTTTGTGGCAGTTAGATTAATGTATCTGTAATACTTAAATGCTATGAGAAGGGAAGGAAACAATAATGACGTAGGGAATGGTGAAGGAAGTAGTAAATGAGTAAAGCATCGCAGAGTGGGGGAATGATTTCCACAGAGCAAAGCTCGGTCTCCAGGTACTTAGTTTATAAGCAGTAAAAGAAAGTATTCAAATTGAAAACTATAGAAACTGTATTTCCGAAGCAGGAATTCAGTATTTTCAAATATTATTAACGGTAGCCTATCCTAAATAAATACAGCGATATGCTGGGCTTGCACACTAAAGTCCAGTTGCGACTACAATAAATAAATAATTAATTAAATAAATAATTATTTATTTTAATAATTTATTATTATTATTTTATAGAAGTCCACTTTTACTAAGGCGTGTAAATAATTTGTTAGGCTTGTACAGTTACGATTACGATGCGTAGGCCTAATGCCTAGACTGCTAGGCCTATACAGAAGTTCAGTTATAGATATTTATTATAATTAAATATTTAACTAAACTTGTTAACTTGTGTTGTCCAATTTATAACTTATAAGTGTGGAAATAATTTTCTCTGTGCAGATATACAGACACAGTTACAATTACACATGCTAATAATGTTGTAAATATATGTTCAGTAATTTATGTCTGTTTGTTTAAATGTATATATTTTTTATTTGAAAGTCTGACACCATCAATCCCTTTTGGGTAAAAGATGAAGATAATAAGGTAATAATTACAAAAAGTAGAGCCTAGACTGCTTGGCCTGTACGGGAGTCCAGTTATAAACTAAGCGTGATATAATATTCCTATTTTTTCTGTAATACTATAAGATGAATTATTACAGCTAACAGAACAGCATGTTGGCATTTTTACGTCAGGTTGAAAATTTAGTACAACCCAATAAATAGGCTTTACATCAACATAGTGCAGGTTCTTAAATTAAATTGCCATAGCCTAATATAAAAACGTCTTTTATATTTGACTAGCTGTACCCGCGGGCTTTGCCCCGTTTAACTTCATAAGTATCCGCATGGCTCATTCACGTCCTGGTTGAAGTTTGTTCGCTACGCTCACTCACCTTTAGGTTGGAGCTCGTTCGCTGCGCTCACTTGCCTTCAGGTTAGCTCGTTCGCTACGCTAACTCGCCTCCAGGTTGGTGTCCTGTAAATCGCTACCAGTGACATTCGCTACCAGTGACAATCGCTACCAGTCCGGTCTGTTCTTGGAAAGAGGGATCGTGGGTGTTGTGTTGGGGGGGGGGGGGGTTGTCGAGACGGTGTCATACTATGATCACGGCTACTTCGAAAGGCAGTCGATTGCAATAGTTAACGTCACAATGTATATTGATGTATTCGTTCTCTACGCTCACTCACCTTTTGGTTGCAAATTAGCTGTTGTCATCATTTAAAGAAATAATAGTGCTGCACCCAGTCGGTTAACCTTTTAACTTTTTAATGCTATTGAATATCACAGAATGAAATTGTTTTGTTGAACCAGCTGTTAAGATTCTTTAATTCAAATTAAATATAAGTTCTCATAAGGTTAACATGGGAAACTCCAGACCCACTGGGGCGGAGCCCTTTTGACGGATCTGCACCAAACTTCACACAAACCATCCTTGAATAATGCTTAATAATGCCTTGAAAGTTTCATTACAATCTGTCGAGCGGTTTCGGAGTCCATAACGTTCAAATATATATATATACTAGCTGTACCCGCGGGCTTTGCCCCGTTTAATTTCTTAATTTTCAAGATGAGCTCGTTCGCTACGCTCACTCACCTTTGGGTTGGAGCTCGTTCGCTGCGCTCACTTGCCTTCAGGTTAGCTCGTTCGCTACGCTAACTCGCCTCCAGGTAGAAGTTCGTTCTCTACGCTCACTCACCTTTTGGTTGCAAATTAGCTGTTGTCATAAATTTAAAAAAATAATAGTGCTGCACCCTGTTGGTAATCCTTGTAACTTTAATGGTATTGAACATCATAGAACAGAACCAACTTGTTTAATTGAAACAGCTGTTAAGATTCATTAATTCCTTTTAAATATGAAAAATCATAAGGTTAACATGGGAAACTCCAGAGCCACTGGGGCGGAGCCCGAAAGCCCGATCAGAATAAAAACTACTTAGTTTTCCTATTTAATGCCCAAAGAATCGGTGTACCGAATTTCAGCCTCCTAGGTAAATGGGAAGTGGGAGAATTAGTGATGAGTGTGTCAGTGAGTCAGTGAGGGCTTTGCCTTTTATAAGTATATAGATTTTAATAATTTTGTTGTACAGTAGTTTATTATGCATATACAGTATTTTACTTAATCATGCTGTAATTTAGCATGAGGAATAAATATATTCTTGTTTAATTCATCAATTCTCTATCCAGTGCCGTCTTTAAAATCTAATCTATTTATTGAGTACAGTAGGCCTATTTTGGCAACGGGGCGGAGCTAGCGCAAACGTCACCAATTCAATGCCACTAGCTTCGCGGCAACCACCATCTTTTTTAGGGTATCATCAGCTCGTGAAATTAGCCACGCCTTATTTCCTGTGGTGACCATTGACTATGGTATTGCTATATATAGTCACCTTCTTCTGTCATTCTGTTCGCTGAGCAAAAGTTTACTAATTGGCTAAATGTTTTAGTTGGAGAAAATGAGAAGGAAGCCTATAGGCCTATTACATAAATGGGAGCTAAACAAACATTAGGATATTGACAAAATAATACTTATCTTTATGCTATTACAAAAACACAGTTTTACTATTAGGCTACTCATATATACAAGTAAAAATCAATGACCTAATAGAAACAGCTGACTGGATTCATATTTCCTTCAACTCTTCCAACCAACCACGAGAATTCAATTGGATTGTTGCTATGGTGACGTCATCATGTATTCAATTTGAATCATGAAAACAAATTAAAGTTATTTGTTTATATCAAAGCTTGCTTACTCCGCTCAATTGGCGGACCTGAGGCCGCATGCCTAGTTTACAATCTGTTCAAGTTGAACAATAAGCAAATAATAATTCAACATTAACTTGAAGAACATGAGCAAGTGATTGACCCCTGTCAACACTAGCTAACAAAGAGAATTTTGATAACACTTAGCCGAATCTGAATGGGAGGTCCAATATCGTATGTCGCTTCAGTCTGTTGGTGCTGTGATTGTCCAATAAATTAAGTGCAAGATGATTTCAATAATTTTCCAATTTTATAATGTATTTTTCACTAGATTTTGTAATTTCTTCTTTGACTGATGTTCGAATTTGAAGATCATTCTGTTGGTAACAAACCAAGGTGCGTTGACAATTAATGTTTGAGGTACTTGCTGATTCCCAAAGCTGAATACCATATAAGTCCAAATTGGGTTTAGAACTGTTTTGTACAGTAACAATTTATTTTGTGTAATAAGTTTTGATTTAGATCCAAGAAGCCAATTAAGTTTAGTTGTTTTTAGAGTTAGATGTTGTCTTTTAGTCCAGGATATGTGCCTTCCAATTAATTAAGCTTTACATTTAAGTGCATGCCTAAGAGTATTTTATTTCTGTTACTTGAGGGAGGTGAATATTGTTCACGGACACTGGAGGACATGTAGCCTGATTTAAGGTAAAAGTAAAAGTGTGCTGATTTATTTTCATTAATTTTGAACTTCCAAGTTTTAAACCAATGTGAAATTTCATCCAAGTTTAGCTGTAAATTTGCTGTAGCTTGAACCGGATTGTCGTGGGCAGATAAAATCGCCGTGTCATCCGCAAATGTAGCAACCATAGTGTTTACACTTTCTGGTAGGTAGGTCCGATGTATAGAGAATATACAAATATGGTCCAAGCACGCTTCCTTGGGGGATTCCTGATTCCATAGGGTAAAGGTCAGTTAAGTCATTTTGATGTTTAATTTGGAAAGTTCTGTTGGTAAGATATGATTTTAAAATAGGAAAAACTGAATGGGGTAGTAACTTCTTAATTTTGAATAGTAAGCCAGAGTGCCATACTTTGTCAAATGCCTGACTGACATCAAGGAAAGCAGCAGAACAAAATTGTTTGTTTTCCAAACAGACAGACACTAAATTTGAAACAGCTATGGTTATACTAAAATTTTGCACAAAATCAAAACATAATCAAAAACGTTCGACATAATGGAGACTATAAGACGTTGACCAGGACGGCCAATGGGAGGAGGCCGACAAAATTTTAACTGGTAGACGAAATACAAATAATACTATTCTCGTTGATAGCCGAATACAGCAAGCACCCTTCCGTGTTGGATTTAAGTGTGCTCTCCAACAGCCGCCTGAAGATTTCACATTCAATTTATATATTTATATATTTAGGACTGTTAGATAATTGCTGCATAAGCTGTTGATTTTGGAAGACAAGTAGGCGGGTATGACTACATCGGAAACAGAAGAGAGGAGATACACACAGGTAATCTTTGAGTTGACTCTTTTAAACTCATTGTAAATATGACTGTTATTCGTTTTGAAATAGCTCCTGTAATACTTTGCATATTGATCGAATTGGAGCAACATGTACATTTAGTAAAATAACAATATCTTTCCTGGGTATACCGTGCCACCTAACGGTAATAGCATAGATAAAACATAGTCTAGCTACTTCCATATTCACTTAAAATGACCTGTTTGTAAAAATAAACAAACCATTGTGAGATTAGCTCGTTTGGTAGTTGTAGTTATATACATAGATAAACATATTCCCTTTATATAGCACAAACGAATAAATTTATCTTCACAGCTACATGTGAACAGATTTCTAAACCAAAAATAAAGAGTAATGCACAGCATTACTTATTTGACTTGACATTTTTTTGATAATAAAAAAATAATAAAAATGGTGGCAAGGCGATGATCTTATTTAAACTCAAATAATAATATTGTGCAATTTTAGTTTATTTAATTTGATTTTTGTTGATCTTTAAACACACTAAACATATTTTGTTTTTACACCTCATGTCCACCAATAATTTTGTGTGTCACAATTTGTGAAAACATCGGGATCGGTGTTTCTGGGTAATGTTCAATTTTCATCTCACCGAAGAAGAGCGAGGTTCAATGTGTGTTTGAGTACGGTTTAATTATGACCCACAAAAAACCTCTATAGATTTGTACCTTCACGAGATTGTTTGAATTTGCAACTGCAATAAGTAACAGGTAAGAATGTGTTTTTTACTACGGAGGTTTTGAAATTTATTAAAATAGGCCTAGGCCTAATTGAGTGAAAATAACTTAAGTTAGGCCTAGTTTTTAGTTCATGTAGGCTAGCCTAGTCTAAGGTTCTTCAGCATTTGAAATGATTTGGAGTAGGCCTAGGCTAGACATAGGCAACACTAAGTTGGACCATACAATGATATACATTATAGGCTATAAATATAGGCTAGGTGATATCACTGACTAGGCCTATTGTGATATTCAATGACACTCACATGCCCAGCCTTTATAGGCCTGTAGGCCTAGGCTAAGTTAGTTCCTGACCACCCTTATACAGTGTGCTGCAGCGGTTAGGCCTAGGCCTATGTTAGTTTGGGTGGTATTTAGGCCTATTCCGTATAGGTGCCTCCAAACGACTTTTTAATTTTGATATCTTACTTTATAGTTTTTTACCTCCTGAATCCAAATATACCATTATTTCTCACTGCTGATGAATATTTCTCAAGATATCGCCATAAAAATATACAACATTAACCAACAATAAACAAGGTGTGATGGATAACATTTACAAGTGGAATGAATTGTGGGTTAACTAACCCAGAGCTGACTGTTTTCAACCACATGACAAGCAACTGGAAGTAAGAACTTTTTAACTTTGGCCTATTAACTCACTCTGATTCTGTTATCGGCATTATGCCTAGTGACGTCATTTTACTTCGAACACTACCGTACTACAACTAGAACTCAAAACAAAAATTGCTGTGTAGTGCTAGTCTGCTACGCCGTCACAAGTTCAAGCTAAGTGAAGAGAGTGATGGTTGATGAGAAGAATAACATCGTTGATTAAACATAATAACATCGTTGTAAAAACATTTCAAGTGATTCTGTAGTCAATAATGTTTTCTATAGGCCTAATAGGAATTTCGTCACATTATGGAGATCCTAGATGGGCTAGGCCTAATTGGTGGACTAATTAGGCTACATGTAAGTTAGTTTTTATTTAGGCATGTCAGGGTAGTAGGTCAAGCTTTATGAAAACTGGTGACTGCATTAAGTGTTTTGAAGTTAGGTTAGATAAGGAAGGTAAAGGGCTGCACTTTCATGGGGGTCCTACACAAACAACCGAATGAAAATATCGGTTATTCGATTGTTTCATTCGATATATCGTTTGGTTTGTTAGGTTATGTTATGTTAGGGTTAACCCTATTCTAATCCAACCTAACCTAACCTAACTCAACCTAACCTTACATAACCTAACCAAACCTATCCTAACCTAACCTAACCTAACCAAACCTATCCTAACCTAACTCAACCTAACCTAACCTAACATAGGCCTAACTTAACCTAACCAAACCTATCCTAACCTAACTTAACCAAGCCTAACCTACTCTAACAGATTTTCCTATCTCAGGTGTTTTTCATCGGATCCAACAAATTCTTGCATATTCTTAATCTACACAATATTCCGCATATTTTGAGTACCCACATGGCGTATTTTTAGTACCGTAACAAATTTTCTTTCCAGTTTTTTTGGTATTTTCCGGTCATTTTCGGATTCAGCGTGAAAATTTGGTCATTATGGGGATAAAATTTCACTTTTGCAACTAGTCATGGGAATAATTAGGTACCCTTAATCTGGTGATTTTCATAATGCAGAATCAGAGTTAGGGAATAAAGTTAAGTCACTTCTATTTGCTTGACTATAATTGAAAACATTCAGCTGTTGGCTTACTTAACCCATAGTTCATTCTAGGCCTAGACTTGTAAATGTCATCCATCCTACCTTGTTTATTGTAATGTTGTACCGGTATATTATTACGTCAATACCTTGAGAAATATTCATCAGCTGCTGTGAAAAATAATGGTACCTATATTTGGATTCAGGAGGTAAAAAACTATAAAGTAAGATATCAAAATTATAAATTCGTTTGGAGGCACCTACGGAATAATTAATTACCGGTTGGGTTATCATAAACATGTTTGTAGGACTTTCCTGGTTTCGTTATGAATCTAACGATATAGGCTACCAGAGATGAGTCATAATTTTGCCTGCCAAATGCCCTCCAGTAGGCCAAGGGATTTTTTTTCCGGTCATTGACCGGAGCGTGCGCATCACCTGTCACAGCCTGTATCTGGGTCAGTGTCCTGAGTGACTGAGTGATAAGTTATCTCATCTGGTATCGTTCGATTCATGACAAAACGAGGATAGTCCAATAAACATATTTATGATAACCCAACCTAACATAACCGCAACAGCGCGCTGTAAGTATACCTAATTTAACTTACTTGGCGAAGTACATGTGGCAGGTACCGTAGCGGCGGGGACGCATTCAACTCAATCCTCGCCGACATCGCTGCCTTCTGGGAGGCAGAACTCAAAGGCCGCTAACTTAATAGTAGGCCTAATCATGTCAAATTTGAACGATAACTTATAAGAATAAGAATAAGAAAGTTTATTGCCGTTGACCAGGTTGTATACAGGAATAGGCATTGTCAAATTACATTAAAACAGAATATCAACATCAACAAGTATCTTATATCTATAGCTAACAAAGATTGAGAATTCCTAACTTACAGTGTGAATGATTCCATTGTAATTTTATGTTTCAAAAAAGTCCTTGACTGAATAGAAAGGATTTGCTACAAGCCAGCTATGAATTTTGGATTTGAAAAGAGAAAGAGAAAGGCTGTCTGCCTGAAGAGGCTCAGGCAGCTTATTATAAAAATTCACACAGTTGAGTTTGAAAGAATTACCTGTGATGTGGTATATCCAATTGTTCCTTACTTCGTGTATGGTGAGAATGGTAATTCTGCCTGGTGGAAAACTCATTGAGATTAGCTCCAGTGTATATAAGTACATTGTAGATGTATAAGTTAATGATTGTGCAAATGTTTAGTTTGATAAAAAGTGGTTTGCAGTGCTCCGCAGGGTCAGCCCCTAACATTGTGCGAATGACTTCTTTTAGCGAATTTCCCATATAGGGAATAAGCTATTACCGTAGTAGGGGCCTACTCATGGTAAGACCTGGACCCGGGACCAATTTTTTTTTTTGTTTTGAGGTCCCTAGAGGCCAAAAATACCATCCGTTCAAATTCATATATATATATATATATTTATATATATATATATATATATATATATATATGTGTCCGTTAGCGCGATAACTCGAGCAAAAATGATCCGATTTCGATGAAATTTGGTACAAACGTGTAAACCTACGTTTATTCGAACGAGTTTGCGAACCAGCATGATCGGACCATGGGAACGGGGGTTTATGGGGGCTTTTATGGGGTAAAAATGGGTTTTTCCCATTTTTGACCCAAAAAACATAGAATTTTGCAAATTATTTCTAAACTATTTTGTAGAGCTTTAAAAAAACAAATAATTTAGTATATTGAAGCATTATAATGCGCCTAATGGTTACGGAGAAAATTCCAAAAAATTGTAAATTTAAAATTCCCATGTTATTCTTATGGAGAATAAGTAAACTGTTGTAGTTTGCTTGTTTATTAACATATTTTGCCCAAATTTGGAAAATGTTTTTATTTCTTACTAACTATTGACATTTTACATAAAAAACACTTTTACCCCCCTGTTGCAGCAAACCTAAGTATGTGTTAAACTGATTCTATTTAAATAGGGAATAAATGCGATATTTTTAAGGAGACAATTTAGTGTAAATCCAATCAGGCAATTGGAAATTCGCTTAGTCTGCAGGTTTGCTGCGGCGGGGGTATTTTTGTATTAGTAGAAGCTCATGGACATGGGGGGAATGGCCCCAAAGTTGGATTCCATATTGAATATGGGATTGAAACAGCCCAAAATAGGCTAGTTTGAGATATTCAATATCGACAAAAGGCTTGAGTTTCCAGAATAAACATGAAACTCGCGATAGTTTTTTGCTCAAATTTGTGATGTGAGTTTTCCAGTTTAATTTACTATCGAGGTGGAAGCCTAGCCAAGAATTTTTACTGAGTGGTCTGATTGTTTAATAGAGAGTGAGAAATCAATTTTCTGGGTCTTGGATTGATTACAGATCAGTTTATTTGCAGAAAACCAGTTTAAAACACTCTTTTCTGCTTTAGAAAGAGCTTCTGAGAGCTTTGTTTGGTCTTTATCAGATGTAAAAATTGTGGTATCGTCTGCGTAAATTACACATTCGATAGGAGTGTTACATGGAAGATCATTTACTGCGATTATAAAAAGGAAAGGGCCTAGGACTGAGCCCTGCGAAACACCTGCTTTAATTGTGGTCATTGTAGAGTGTTTACCCTCCACACTAACATATTGCTTCCTATTAGTCAGATATGATTCAAGCATTTCTATTGTGTTTTTGCTAAGTCCATAGAATTTGAGTTTAGCCAGCAAGATGTCAAACGGGATGCAGTCGAAAGCTTTTGTTAAATCAAAAAGTAGCATAGAAACAGTATTTTTATTTTCAAAAGCATTAATAATATAATTGGAAATGTGAGAGACTGCCATCGTAGTTGATCTGCCAGCTCTAAACCCAAATTGAGAATCAGTCATCAAGTTATTAGAGTCAAAAAAGTTATTTAAAACTGTTTTAACATGAAAGCTTCGAAAACCTTAGATAAGATTGGTACTATCGAGATTGGGCGATAGTTTTGACATAGATTCTTATCACCCTTTTTATAAATTGGAGTTACTTTTGAGACTTTAAAAGTTGGTCAGGAAAATAGCCATTACGGAGACAACTATTAAATACAGTGGAGAGGGGTGTAGATATGTAGTGTATAATATTCTTGATTATGTAGTTTGAAAACCAAAAGTGATCCATAGATTTAGAATTTGAAAATTTTGAGACTGTTTTTGTTACCTCATTTGGTGTAATATGTGTCCATTCAAATTTAGAGACGTCCAATTTTTGTGTAGATTCCAGTAGTTCTCTTGGTGTGTCTTGAGTCTGGCCCACTTGATTGGCCAGTTCCTCAACTGAATCTGTAAAGTGTGTTTAATTTGTTAGGGTCAAGAGTAACATGAG